CTTCTGACCCGGGTCAATCCAGACCCGGGTCAGCAGGAAACCAAAAACTGCAATGCAGGAAAAAAACTGCAACGCAGGTCTTCGCAAACCCGGGTCAGCCAATATGCGCGGCCGCCTCGCGGCCACGAGCGGCTCGCTAACCCGGGTCAGCCAGAGGGGGTCTTCCGCAGGATCCTGCAGGATCTGGTGCCCTGGCTGACCCCCGTTTGCACTGACCCCCGTCTCAAAAAAAAAAAAGTCAAATCGAAAAAAAAAAAGAAAAGGGCTCCACCGACCCGAGCTGTACGGGAGTTTCCAGGAGCTGTTGGAACTGGGTCAGCCAACCTCAAAACCAAAACAAAAATAACAAGAAAATAGACAATCAATCAAACAAAAAATATAGAAAGAGTAAACAAAAAAAAAAAAACACAGACCTCAAAAAAAACAGCACACAAAAGAAAACAAAGAAAAAAAAAAGAACACAAAGACATAAAACAATACTACCTCCCAAACTCCCGAGTGTCCCAAGAAACGCATCAGATGGCTACATGATGTTCCCCAGAGCGGTCCAAGACAGCATCAAGATGGCCCACTGTTGCCCCAAGACGCCCCAAGAGGGCCCCAAGAGCACTCCCCAGCATAACCCCCCCAGAATGCGTGCGTTTTCACTATACTCGCCTCGCGTGCTTTCACAGCGTCTAAGAAGGTCCAGAAGGCTCCCAAGATCTGCCCAAGAGGCCCCTCAGTTCGCCCCCGAGAGGCCCCAAAAAGGGCTCCAAGCCCCCAAAAAAGCCCCAGGAGCAAGAGCCCCCAAGAGGCCCCCCAATGCCCCAAAATGGCGCCAAGAGGCCCCCGAGAGATCTCAAAGACGCCCGAAGAGGCCCCAAAATGGTTCCCACGAGGCCTTCAAACGGCCCCCAAGAGGCCCCCCGCGGCATCCCAACGAACATCCTAGACGACTATGACCCACAACCCAGGCACAATGGCGGGATGGGCCGAACGGCATTAGATATTGTGAAATGTCAGGCTCGCAACAAGTATGTCCAAATGTAGATGATTACATTATGTTGTTATGTTCGGGACGCGCCGGTGTGACGTCCTGAAGCCTGCCACGTTTGATATGTCGTCTAATCGGTCGTTGCTGCTACTGGTGTCTGTGCTCAGCGTGGGTTCGGCGCACATGTCGCATATTATAGGACGGCGTTACTCGGTCCCTGCTGTATCATACTCTATGACGCTATGTTCGGTTATGGTCTGTTGTATTCACATATGGCTTCTGCTGCTTTGCTCTGGACAGGGCAGCGTGACGTCGTGACGCCTGTAACGTTCGCTATGTCATCTAATCGGTCGTTGCTGCGCCTGTGTTTGTCCTGTGGACAGCCTTACGTGGGCGTGGATGCTGTATTTGACAGGGCGCCACTATTCGGTGGGAGCACGGGCCCGCTTGGCGTCGTGAGGCCTGTCACACTATATACGTTGTCAAATCGGTCGTTGCTGCGCCTGTTTGTTCCTGTGGACAGCCTGACATCGGCGCGCACGACGCGTTTGATATTAGTCGGGTGCGCTCGGTTGTGCTATGTTGTTCCACTTCAGTGGTGATTCACTCTACTCGTGCCAACCCTGCCAGAAAGAGAACGTGATATGGTGTGTTGCGGTATGTCGTTCTGCTGTGTCCATCTATGGTGGTTACGATATGCGGTGGTTCAGATGATGTGCTAGGATATGTTCCACTGATGGTCAGATGGTGCGGCGGACCTCTTCATTTATTGTATGATATCGGATATAATGCCGTAATGGTAGCAGTAGTACAGATGGTATGCAATCGTGTACTGGTTACGTCGTCCCCTGGTCAGGGTTGTGTGCTATGACCTGTGTTGTCAAGATACTTGTACTCAATGTGGAACAACAGATTGCGCTAAATTGCATGTGCTGCCTCCGCGGTATTACACGTACGCTAAGTATTGTGGGTTATGGCAGGAGCGTGATTGTGTTATTATAATGCATGATGGCATGATATATTGTGTTATGGTAAGGCATGGATTGCTGTATGGCGACATGGTATGGCGTGTAATATGACGGTGTGATGCGTCATGTGTTTGTGCACTATGATGTGCTATAGTATGGTATGATATGTGTTACCATGTTGTGGCATGAAGTATGATATGGTATGGTATGTGTTTGTATGCCCTTCTCTACTGGGTAACGACGTATGGTGGTATGCTATGGCATGTAAGATCCGATGTGTCATGGCATGTTTGGGTATGCCATGGTATGCCATGGTATGTGATGGTGGTGATGCTATAGTATGTCATGTTATGATGTGCTCTGTGTTGTTGGTTATTTTCTGTCCTGCTCACAGGGGCGTCAATATTGGGGATTCTCGGTGGACCTGGGGATCTGGCGGCCGTGGTACGTAGAGTGGGTAGATCGGGTGGGAATCTTGGGGGCTCGCGGTGAATCTGGGGATCTGGCTGCCGCGGTATGCAGGTTGGGCGGGTCGGGTCGGGAAGCGCGGGAGTCTCGGGGACTCTCGGATCTGGCGGCCGCGGTATGCAGGGTGGGCGGGTCGGGAATCTGTTCTTAAAATTTAACGACCCCTACCTGCCGGGTGGGGAACAAAACAGGACTGTCAATGCTGTACACAAATTGACAACCCTCTATCGCTATATTGTATTGCTGATCGATGAGCCACGCCTGCAGCGCTGAGCAAAGGGGTGGCTGGGAAGGGGCATGCAACTCCTTGACAAAGACCTTGCCCCGATGTGCGGCCGCCGCGATCGCCGCGGCGATCTTGGCGAAATAGCATGGTACCGATACCGCTACTCCCCGGACCTCTCCCGGTGCGCATTATGACCAGAATTCCGAGAATCCAGCCGTGGCGACAAGAGATCTCCAGGACGAGCAGCGGTGTCGGTACCTCTTCCTCCTCTGAGACCTCTCAAACCGACCCGGAGGTTTGGTTCGGGGTCGGATTTCACGCAACGACGTGCGCGGTTTGCTCTTCCGTGTGTGCCCCCTCGCCCAGCCGTCGGACGCGGGCCCCGCGCGCGAGCGCCCAGCAATTTCCTGGGTGGGAACGCGTTCCATCAAGCTTTGCCACCGGTGGCCACTGACTCTTCGAACTCATCGGACAGAGGTAGAGGAAGAAACAACTGCACGAGCACAAGTTCTCGGAGGTCCGCGCGGACTTCTTGCATCGGCGGTGGCCCCCCCTTCCACGGCGCGCGGAGCGCGCCAACGGCGGCACCGGGGGCGCCGCCAGGGGGGCCCAGCGCCGATCCAAGAAATCCGCGCAAACCTAAGAGACATCAATATTACGCGGTCTCCTGTTCTTCAACTCGTTCGAGCAGGCGTGGCTCGGCCCTGCCCCATTCCTAGACCTCCCGCCCTTGCCTTCCTTCCACTCACCTCCGTTCCCCTCTCCTTCCATCGCACCCCACCCTCACCTTCCTTCCCCCTTCCCCTTCCTCCTCTTCCCTTGCTCTCCCTCCCAGACTCTCACGTGTCCGCTTACCTACCTCCCGCACTGAGCACAGAGCGTCGATCGAGGACCGGCTCGGATCGCATCGTCGATCGCTCTTTCCCGGGTGCCCTGGCTCAAGGGCCCTAAACGGCAGCGGAGAAGCAGGGATGGATGGGGGACAAGGAGAGACGAGGCGAGAAGGATGAAGCCGGAGTTGAGACAGCTGAATGGTGAAAGGCTGGACGGTTGACCACGTGGCCCGTGAGAGGGGGAACCGGATGTGGGCGGCCGTGACAGGCTTCCCGTATAAGCCGCAAGGTTCACGACCGCCAGGCCGCACATGCCAGCGTACCTGGAGGCCGCCCGACAGGGGCCGAAATGGGCCGCGAGGTCGGGCCGCGCCGCCGACGCATCGGCTGAACATCTGGATGCAGGTCGCGCCGCACCAGCGATGCTGCGGCGTCGCGGCGCGATCCTCCGACCCCATTCTCGAGCGGCCTGGAAAGAGGGGGAAGCAGAAAGACACCGATACCGCCACGCCCTGGAGCTCGCCCAGGGGCGCGCTCCGACAGGGATTCCGAGGCGAGCCCAGCAGGTGGTCGCCACGAGGGCCCTCCAGGAGGCCCGGGGAGAGCGAGAACGAAGGAAGAGCGTCGGCATGGGTACCGCAGGTTCGCGTCATGCCGACTTCGGCGTTGGCTTCCGACACCGCGGGGATCGTCCAACCCTGAACGATCGGCCATTCTCGAAACTTCAGATCGCTCCTGTCATGCCGACTTCGGCGTTGGCTTCTGACACTGCGGGGGTCGCCCAGCCTTGAACGATCGGCCGTTCTCGAAGCGTCAGATCGTTCATCGTCGGTCAACGCTGAACGCCGGCGGCAGGGTCGCAACCAGTCGACACGACGCGAACCGACGGTATTCGGGGAGCGAACGGGTAGGATAGCGAAGGGCAGGGTAGAGAGTCAGCGCACGTAGCTGGGTTTCCTGGCGCCTCCTGGCGCTACGAGGCGCCCATGTATCGAGGAGTGGACCCGGCGGCGGGGTGGAAACCAGCTGCATGCAGCAGATGCCGTACCCCCCTTCCCTACAGTAGGGGCTCGACCACAAGAAACATTCCACAAGAAACCCAACCCTGAGACCTCAGGACGTCTGCTTATTTCTGGTGTGGGAGCGCCACGCCTTCCATAGAAAAACCATCGAAACCCGAGAAACCCAGGGCACCCTGGAGGCAAGCAGCGTGTTTCTTGGCATGGGCCCCCACTGTATCCTACCCTCTCGTCCCGCACGACGTGGAGGGTTTCGGATCCGAAGGGCTTAGGCGACCCGTCATCCTCCTCCTCCTGCTCCTCCTCCTCCTCATCATCCTCCCTCCTCCTCCTCCTCCTCCTCCTCCTCCTCCTCCTCCTCCTCCTCCTCCTCCTCCTCCTCCTCCTCCTCCTCCATCTCCTCCTCCCCCTCCCCCTCCTAATCCTCCTCCTCCTCTTCCTCCTCCTCGGGTCGCCTATGGCCCCGGGGGAAACCGTCCCGCACGACGCACGCTTTCTCTCCCCCGAGGCGTACCATATCACCGCCCACTCGGGCCAGGCGGCGGGGTCGAGGAGGCCCCGCCCGGTGTCGGGCCCGACGGCGAACGCGAACGCCGCCGCTGACGGCAACTCCAGCTGCTCGGGGGGCACCTGGGGAGGGGGGGGGAGGAGGAGTATGAGGAGGAGGGATGATGCGGGAGGAGGATGAGGAGGAGGGAAAGGCTGAGGAGGAGTAGGAGAGGAGGAGGAGGAGGGAGGAGGAGGAGGAGCGGATGAGGAAGGAGGAGGAGGAGGGAGGGGGGCACCAGCAGCACGCCGTGCGCGTCGTCGACGGACATGCTGCGCGGCGCCACTGCGCGGCGGGCGCGGCGGCCGCCCGAGCCAGGGCGGAGCGGGGCGGAGCGGAGCTATCACGAGCAGCGCACATGGCCGTATCCGCTCCCTTGCGGTCTGGACTCCGGGGCGCGGTCCCGCAGATACTCGGGAGAGAGAAGGTACCACTGCTACCAGCTAGGGGGGCGGCCGCTCCCTCCCCTCGAGCTGGTGGCACCTCCTTCCAGGAGCTCTCTGGAGGCGTGCCCAGAATTGGGGTGCCACCGGCTCGAGAGGGTGGGGCAGCGGGCCTCCTAGCTGGTGGCAGGTTTGTCTTTGGCGAGATGCGCGGTCGCACGGAGACGCCCTGCACGGGGCAGCCGTGGGGGGGGGAAACATATATATATATATATATAAACAAAAAACAAACAGCAAAAACAAAAAACACAAAAAAACATAATAATAACAATAAACATAATAATAACAATGATAATAATAATAATAATAATAATGCTGATTTTTTACCAGGAGGGGGGGAAAACAAAAAACAAAAACAAAAAAAACGCCCCGCTGAGGCCGCGGCTGCGGGCCTGTGCCTTCCCCCCACGAGGCGCGGAGCGGGCGCGGGGCTCGGCCGCCCCACGGGGGCGGCAGCCGCAGCGCGAGGCGCCTGCGGGGAGGCCACGGGGTGCAGCGTGCGCCGGAGCGGCGATGGGGCACGGGGGTAAAAAGGTAAAGGCGCTTAGGGGGCGGTGTCCAAGTCCCTACACTACTGAAAGCTCGGAACGCTTGGAAGATGCCCCTGCGAAATCATATGGATGCAGGGCCTATCGCTGGAGCCATAGGCCTGCCTACACCGTCCCCGCAGGACGCGGGGAGCGGAGGAGGGAGCAGGCAAGTCGAGGACAGAGAACGATGCACTCACACAGCGACTCTGGCCAGGCCCGTCCTGAGCCCAGGATCGGCGCACACGCCCTCTTGCCTTGGCCGGGGAGGGTGCATGTGCACCGATCCTGGGTCGAGGATGGGCGCTGTCAGGATCGGCGCATGCGCAGAGCTCTCTCCGCCCGAGGCCAAGAGGCAGAGATGCGGCACCGCCGGGCAGGGGCAGAGCGAGCTCGTCGCTCGGGGCGTCCCGCACCCTGGCCGCGAGCGGGCATCTTCCCTGTCCTCCATGATTGACGAACGAACAACACGCACCCATATCCATAGGTGGGACGGAGCGGGCTATGGGTGCGTGTTGTCGGATGGGGGTCCCCGCTCGAAAGGAAGCGCCCCCCAGGATCCGACAACCCGCACCAATACCCGTAGCCAGTCCTCCTCTCAACGTTCCCCCTATGGGTATGTGTGTGTTGCTCGTTCGTCAATGATGGAGCTCGAGACACATAGATTTCAGCTTTCGGTGCGCTGAGTTTATAAGCAGTGAGAAGGGCAGGTGCCCCCCTCTCCGAAGGGGGGTCCTCCCCGGGGGTGCCCAGATGCTCGGCCTGCTGTCCCCGCGGCGGCCGTGAGGCGCTCACGCGAGGGGGGCCGGAGGGACAAGACGAGCGCTGCGCTCCAGGGATCCCCACGAGCAGGCCGCGGCCGGACGAGCGTCAGCGTGCACGACGCTTCTCGTGGGGGTGCCCAAATGCTACGCCTGCTACGTCGCGGTAAACGCGGGCAAATCTGACTATGAGGAGCACAAAATAGGGCCTGAGTGTGAGTGACAGCAAATTGTGGGCTGTGTGAGGGCAAGCGTGAGCACGAGTGAGTATGAGTGTGACTGTGGCCGAATATGATGGAGGCTGAGTATGAGTGGGCTTGAGTACTAGCGGATATGCGTGGGTGTATGGTCTGAATCATAACAATCTTACTATGAATAAGTTTAGGCGCGAAAAATATGGATGAGAGTGATCCTGGGTATGAGTAAGCTGGTCAGTGGGTCTGAAGCTACGTATGAGTGAGTATGAGGGTGAATCGCCCTCAGTGTCAATGAATCTGAAAACGACTGGGTCTGAATGTGGAAACAAGGCGGAGGTTTACAATCGAAACAAGAATACCCGTACTAGTAGGTAGAGAAGCATGGACAGTACGCAGAAGAGGCAGACAACCCCAGTCTCGGCTGATGGCACCGCCGAGTCTCTGGGATACTAGATATGTGCGGCGTGAGCTGCGTGGTGCCATCGGTGGAATGCAAGCTATTTGTGGTGCAGGCCACGTGGCGTAGACTGTGTAATGCTCGGCGGTGGACAAACCTCCTTTTAGCAAATCTCCCCTTAGTGAAAACGGCCTGGGACCGAAACCGACGGACCCGGACCCGCAAGAAGGACGGCCGCGACGCCCTCTCGCGAACCGAAAACGGCCAATTCCTCAGTCGACGTGTCATCGGGAGCGTCCACGAGGGGGGTGTCCAAGAGGGGTGGGTGCAAATCATGACCGGCGGCATGTGCGCGGCCCAGCGGGGTCCAGGGACGTAATGAAATGAGAAGAGGCACCATAAAATCTGGGGAAGTACCATGGCCCCCGCCATGATATCCACCCCCCCCCCAGTCATCCCTCGGAGGGGTGTCAGGGTAGGAGGTCTGTCCAACCCCGGGTTGCCATCGAGATGGCGTGCGCCAAGCGGCGGACCGACGGAGCCTCGGCAGACCCCGCGCAGCGCACGGGGCGGCGCTGCCCACGGGGCGCCCACCCGCGGCCGCGTGGCGGGGTGCTCTCGCGGGCGGCGGCGCGGCGGGGCCTCGGCACCGCCGCGAGAGGTGCTCCCGCGGGCGGCACCGCGCGGCGCGGCGGCGGCTCGGCGAGGCCATCCGGCAGCACCGGGGCACCCACGGGGGGCCCCGCGGGCGCCGCGGCACAGGGACTTCGGGGGCGGCCGCGGGCGGCAGCGCGGCAAAGCCTCGGCACACTCGCGAGGCGGCAGCGCGGCGAAACCAGGGCGCGCCCCTCGAATTGCGTGCACGCTTTGACCCAAAAGCCCTGTTGGCTGCAGGCGCGGCTTGGGGCAAACAAAGCAATTGCAACAAATCACAAACGACCAAGCAACATACAAAAACTGTGGCCATTGTAAACCCAACAGGTACTATTGTAGATGGTTCACTTTCCCATTGAGATGTTTGACTCGGTAGGTCCGTCTTTGTTGGTGGAGGCCGAGGTTCCAGTATCCCGATGCATGGGCTCGACCAATGCATGTTTACCAAGCGCTAGCGCCGCCAACAAGCCAAGGCGTGCGCTCCTGCGCTGCAGCGGACTGATGGACCGCTCGCGCACCGTGAACAACGCAGGGCTGGCCACAGACCGTGGCCCGATGGACCGCCCGCGCCCAGAAACGTGCAATGTTGGAGCACACGCTGCGGGCTGCCGGAACGCTCGCGCTGGGGCAGCACCACCATCCTAGAGAGCGCGCCACGGGCTGCCGAAACGATCGCGTTCTGTAAAAGATGCAGCAGCGCTGGAGCGGTCCAGCTGTTGGGGAGCGTCCTCCCTCGCGAACACTGGAAGCTGGAGCGGCACCCCGCTTGGGCTTCAACAGGGGAAACGGGGCAAGGGGGGCGGCAAGGAGAGGGGATGCTAGCAGTGTGTTCGCGCCTGGATCTCAAACGGGGACCGTTGATCAAACGCCCTGCCAAATCGCGTTTGCATAGTTTTGTCGGACCTGGCGACATGGCGCGCCATCAGATCGCACCGATTGATCCGAATGGGCCACGGGTGCAACGAAGATCAAGGCAAGACGTTTCCCCGAAACCGATCCCCCATGCATTACCCTTCTCGTTCAAACAAACTTATCAGACGTATTCCTCTGGCAATATAACCGAACCAAACCTCTGAACTCCATTGCGCACATCGAACATTACCAACAGCCCTGGTGAACACACAACATTCCGATTTCGAACCGTGACGTCTCGACCTGCATGAGAGTACAACCAAGGTCCAAGTGCTGAACACCTCGAACCCAAAACTGTATTCACGTCGACACTAAAAACCGTTGATCGAAATCCCATCTCATTTGCGCATCAGAAACAAGACCAGGTGCCTCAAGCGAAAGGCGCCCAAACTAAGCCTTAGGCCTCTGGACGATGGGAGTCGGCGGCTGGGGGGCCTTGAATTGGGACCCGCAGTAGTGCTACGCGAGAAACATGGCACCGTCGGCTCAGACTGGGGGTCGCAACGGTGGAACGTGCGGCCCCTGATTGACGGCGGGCGCAGCCAAGCCGATCGGGCCTATACCGCCACCGCATGAGTGGACGAACCATCTCCCGCGGCAGCTAGCAAGGGTCTCACATGCGAAGCGCCTAAGGCTACACCTGCACGTCACAGGAGCAAAACGTGGAAACATAAAATCATGTGCGTTGGCATGGGTCGGCGACCCACCCGTCCTAGTTGGTGGCAACTTGCGCAACTCCTGGCAGCGCACCAGAAATCTGGCTGCGTGCGCTGCTGGGCGTTGTCAGCTCATGCAAAAACAACGAGTTGGGCTTCAGATACACTGCACGGAATTATGTTTCCAAGGTATCCAAGAAGCCCCCAAGAGGCCCGAAGAAACCCCCGAAGGCCCTCAAAACGCTCCCAAAGGACCCACAACGGCTCACAAGAGGCCTCCAAACGGCCCCCAAGAGGCCCCCGAGAGCCCCCACCGCAACATCCCAACGCACATCCTAAAGGCCTATGACCCACAACCCAGGCACGGAGGCGGGATGGGCCGAAGTAAGTTGCACAGAACTCTCTGTCCAAGGTGTCCAACAGGTGATACTGTTTCCTTCCGCCGCGGGTCCGCGACTCGATTGATTGGATCGTTGGTGATGGTTTGGGAAGTCGTTTCTTCGGCTGCCCAGTCTCGCCCTGTTTGATTTCGCGTGGTGGCACTGCTGTCCCTGGAAAGCCATGTCCCGCACTTCTCACGTAGAGTGCGCGCCTGCTGGAATGCGATATGATTACTGCTGACTAAAGGCTCACATCGAGCGTGCGCTGGCGTCGACGGCTGTTCAAGTCAGCGCGACAATGATTACGCACAGAAGTAGGAATCATGCAAAGAAGCAGGAATGGTGTGGCGTCGTCGTCTGCATTTCAGCTCACGGACCTTCAACGAAAGCCAATTCAAGATGTGAGCTCCAAGTCCTAGAAAATATGCCTGGATGCGTATGTTTTAAGACAAGTGCCACAACATACAGGGGCTCGTATTCTCGGCTATCGTATGAAGTTCGCAGCGCCTGGCAAACGCATGCAACAGATCCAACCGACGGTCAAAACCCGTTGCAGCGCCACTGATGTTTGCGATGCTCCCCGGGATGCACCAGCCGGTGCATGGCAGCGAGCCCTCTGGGGGACCGCTGCTGCAGATCCCGACGCCGCCGCGTCGGGCCCCTGGCCTGC